GATTCTGACCATTTATATCAACCTCAGTTTTTCGTCATCTATATGTCTATATATCTCGGTCTATCTATCTATCTATCTATCTATCTATCTATCTATCTATCTATCTATCTATCCCATTCTGTTCATTATCAATCTATCAGCCTCAATATTAATCACCATTCTATATTGCTCATTAGACATGCGCAGTCATTCAAAGCAACCTTTTTCTGTGTGAGTAAAGAAGGAATCCTTCTTTCACGGCACGATTCTTGAGTGAAAATAGAAAAGAAAGAAAAGAACAAAGAAAATAGAAAAGAAAGAGAGAACAAATGGAAGGCGAAAAGAGGCGAGATTGTCACGTGAATGCCGTTTCGCGTGTTGCGTTTATTGATAGGCCTTTTGATGCAGAGGGGAAGGAGGGAGGGAAACACATCGATTGTAAAAATTGATAACAAGCCTGGAAGATGCGGCAGATTTACCTATCACTCCACCAAAGGAATTAGAGTAATCAAGATAAAATTGAAATCCTGACACTGTTCTACATATATATATATATATATATATATATATATATATATATATATATATATATATTTGAATAAAAGACAGACCACGTTAAGATTCCATGTAATAAGCTACTTCACCATAACCCCTTTAACAGGGTTCTGGATCATCAGACTTTATTTCCAAAAGCTGAAATGAAAAATGAAAAGAAATCCACACGTTTTTGACGGACCTCATCAAGTATACGTAAAATTAACGAAGTGAGGGAGTGAGGTGGGAGAGAGGATATGAGTGTGTCATATGTATCATTTCAGTTTCCTATTTTTAACCTCAGTGTGTCGGCTAGATGTTGCTCAAATTTAACGCGTCTCGTCTCTAGATATAGATGGCTAAGGGGTGAATGATAAGAACGACATTAAAGGAAGAAGTTACAACAACCCCAATCAATTACACGACAGGTTTCATTCAAATTCTTAGACGCTCGCTGATATTCCTATGTATATCTTTTTCTCTTCAACCTTTTCTTTGGGGAAAATTGTTGCTTCATATATTGTGTTCTCTGCCGTGCATATTCCTTCAATTGGTCACTCTGATCCTGTCCTGCAGTTGCATGTTCATTTTTCCATTTGTGTTGTATCCTGATTTTGTCTTAGATTATCATGAAGGTCTCTTAAAATTTTACTGTTGTGTGAGCTAATAATTCTTTCCATATTGTTTATGCAAAAATAGCTAATCTTTAGATTCATCTTGTTGAATATTTTTTTCAGAGATGCATTTTTGCTAAAGTGTCAACCACAATCTCCAGATGACTTCGGAATCTCCTGCAACTCATCTGGACGGTCTCATGGTTAACGATGGTGAATGTTGCCATAATCGTTGCCTTCAGTTCTTCTTTGGGGTTACAAGGAGTTTTGTTGGCCTCTCCCTCAACTGTACCCACACATAATAATCAAGGGGGTTGCAGTCTAGGGAAGTAGGTGTCCAAATGTAAGAGGTCTGACAACATGATTGGGTTCTCCTGCTTGTGTGGCATAGTGCTGAGTCCTGTTGCCAGACATAGGGTTCTTCCGCTAGTCACTCTCTTGATCCAGGTCAGCACTAATTTCTCAAGGCACTTGATGAAGTCTGAGCACCTCACCAACAAATTCAGGAGTTCTTTTCTTAGAACGATCAGAGTGATTTTTCCGAATTGCCCTAACTTCGTAATCATCATTAGACTCATCTAACTCTTCCCGAATCCTTTGCACTGTTCCCAAGTTGAAACCCAAACATTCTGAAATGTTCGTATTGGAGCTTCCGGCGCGAATGCCAAACAGTACAGCATGCAATTTACAAATTTCTGGCGGAGAGAATTGCGTCATGGTGCTGATTTTCTCACAGAGGGTGCCCAACTGACCCTACTATACGGCAAAATGAAAAAAATTTAATGGGCATGCATGAAGTAAAAAAAAACAAAACATATTACGGCGACAATTTATCCATCGCACCACACACACACACACACACACACACACACACACACACACACACACACCAGTTGACATCCAATGCTATAGAACCCAGTCTGTCCTGATATTTTACCCATAGCTGGAGGGAAAAGAAGAGGATTCATACCTTTCCCAAGTGTATTAGCACGTAAGTGAATGTAATGGATTCGACTGGAATTCGAACTCGGCTCTCCGATTCCTCAATTCAAGCCGTTATCCGTAACTCTACCTCCCCTCTCTCTCTCTCTCTCTATATATATATATATATATATATATCATTTCGACCCAACCAAGGGAATAATGCAGAGACAAAGTCAAAGCGTTGATTGAAATAATCCAAAAGTGACTTAACCAAAAGATTTCTGAGTTCAATACCTGCCCACAGAAAGGAATTATCTGAAACCTGAGATGTCATGGTACATAAAACCCATGGCACGTAGAACTAGGACAATCTAAATAAAAAAGGTCGGTTCGAAATTCCAACGCATATCCCCCGAAGAAGGTCGGGGCGTACAACGACCGAAACGTCGTAAATATTACAATAAAGATGACGAAAATGTAAATGAAGTAAATAGTTACAATACTTCATCTCATATATATATATATATATATATATATATATATATATATATATATATATATATATATATATATAAATAACTGTTTTTAAGCCACATTCTCCTGATTTTCTCTCATACATTCATATCTGATCGATGCGTATCCAAATGTAAACAAATGACATCCCACATTATGAAATAATTGACAAAGTCCGACAAATATTTTAAGACATTTTTTATGTTTATACGTTCGTTTTATAGATACAAATACTTAAGCAAACCGAAACGCTCCGCTGTGGCTCAATCGGTAAAAGCACGTCAGGATATATATATATATATATATATATATATATATATATATATATATATATATATAATTATTTTTTTTTAAATTTATAACATAAATATGTTATAAAATCACTACAAAAATAGCCATTTTGTTTCAACACCCCTGGTGTCTTATCAAGTGATGATGTTGAATGCAAAATAAATGGTTTTAAAAGTTTCAGAAGTTTCAAATTAATTAACGATCCTTTAAAACCATTTATTTTGCATTCAACGCTTATTTATGTGATAAATTTTAAAAAAAAATTATATCTGCTCTCCTTTGTATTGAGCACTCTTTTAAGAATAGTAATTGTTGGTTATTGGAATTCATTCCGTATATACCAATTATATGCTTATATATATATATATATATATATATATTAAAAAGAAGAGGGGTGCCGCAAACGTTTTTGGTTGTAATGTGGATTTATTGAGAAAAATATTATACTTTGTTTTACATAATTTCACGACACGTGTTTCTGGTCGAGTCTCGCAACCGTCTTGAGGTGATGAAGAATTTTTACATATTTTTAAAATAATTAATTTTTTCTTCATGTTCAATGTGGAATATTCTCGATATGAGACATTCTGTTTTTATGTAAATCAAAATATTCGGATTTTTTCTCAATAAATCCACATTACAAATAAACCAAAAAACGTTTGTGGCACCCCCTCTTTTTAATATACATACTTTTCTCGTTGGAACCACTACAACATATTTCCTTTATATATATATATATATATATATATATATATATATATATATATATATATATATATATATATGTATGTATGTAAGTGAAATTGTGTAAACGAAGCAATTTGAAAAGCATCGATAGTTGCACGAAGTCACAAGGTTTTCTTCCTTTTCTCTTTTCCTTCAATAATCCAGTGACATACATATATAGCCCGCTGAAATAGTAGTGACACTTGGTCTGAAGATCGTACTGAAGATAACAGTCACTACACAGGGTTGATATGTATAGGCACACTGTTTATATCTATAAACGTTCTGTCTCCGATATTCATTCGACTATAAACGTAGCAGGTCATGAACAGCACATAATACCACACGCCGATAGTACGACTCAGAGTTTCGAAAGCGCTAATGACGATAAATATCTTTATGACAAGTTAATGATCCTAAAAATTATAACCAGCCATAATTTGTTAAACAAAAGAAGTTAATTAATGAGCACTTGCATACACAGAAATTAATTCCTACGCAAGTACGTTGACCCAGATTAATATAGTTTTTTCAGTTTCGGAGGTCACAGATAGTGGTTTTAGTGTTGCTATTATTATTATTATTATTAGTAGTAGTAGCAGTAGTAGTAGTTGTTGAAGTAGTAGTAGTAGTATATGATTAATATATATATATATATATATATATATATATGTATTATTTTTTATATTATTAATGTTCTAATTAACATGACTACTTTTTACTACTTTTACTATTTCGGGATTATTCTTTTTAGTATTACTATAATCAATATTACTTTATTATTATTATTATTATTATTATTATTATTATTATTATTATTATTTTCTTTGATTTTTGGCGTTTACACATTTCTTTCCGGGTCCCGCCCAGGGACCTAAGGTTAGAAAAGGCATCATGACTCTTTCCACTGACAAACAAAAAAAAAAAAATTACATAGATAAAGACCTTCGTAAAGTGTGGGCTGTACTTGTCAGAACAATTTTTTGTATCTCCTTGAGGCATGGACTTCCAGGAATCCCTTCAATTAGTCTACTGCAATCTTTTCCAACCAATTCTATGGCTCCAACTACAACAGGGATTGTTGATGCTCCCATATGCCACATTTTCGAGATTTCTTTTTCAAGGTCCTTGTATTTTGACAGCTTTTTGAATATCTTCAAAGATACATTGCAGTCAGCAGGGACTGCCATATCAATAAGGAGGCACCGTTTTTGTTTGTGATCTTTAATAACAATATCTGGGTGGTTGGCCTTGATTGTTCTGTCAGTGTGTATTGTGTAGTCCCATAAAATTGTAACAGGTCCTATCTCCGTAACCGGGTCTGGGTGGTGTTCATACCAGTTTCTTTCAGTTTCCTTCCCGTAGAAGTTGCAGATTTTCCAGTGCAGATATTGGCCCACTCTGTCATGCCGGGTTTTATATTCAGTGTGTGCCAACATCGTGCAACCTGATACAAGATGATCAATCGTTTCTGGATATTTATCACAGAATATGTATTTTGGGCTGACACAATATTTTAGTATATGTGCTTGATAATTCCTAGTTAGCAAGCATTGGTCCTGCGCAGCAAGGATAAAACCTTCAGTTTCAGCTTTCAACCCTGCACTACGTAGCCACTGATGGGTACGGGTTTTGTCTACGTCAGCTTGTTTGGTACGGGCAGAGTATTGG